AACCAGAGAGCCTCATTGGTTCAAGTCAGCCTCAGAATCAGTTGTACTACTGTGTGCATCTGTACTGTCTTGGTTCCACAAAGTGCTGGAACAAGCAGTGTTAGTCTGGACTTAAGCTATCTGTGATACCTCAGAGAAGGGAAGGACTTGCAGTACTGTCTGCTGTCTGCCACAGCTAGTCTGTTTCTCTACCGTGAGAAATACTTCAGTCTAGGTTTGGTGTTGGAAGTCTAGCCGTAGACCTCTGGTCACCTGTGTTTGCTCTCTACCCTCATCCTCAGCTAGACTCTGGTAGTCAGCTATTTTGCTTGTTTAGTTATCTGGAGATTGAAACAAAGAGTTTTAACCTCTATAAAGCCTACACTCTCCCTCATCGAACACAAGGGAACTGCTCGACCAACGACAAATCCAGCATTCTCTTGGGGAACTTGACGACTGCACCGCTTAGAGATATTTAGGTGGTATTATATCAATCGCAAGTTCTGCTGACACCGTGTTCTCCCCTGGCCAGCTCAAAGTCCCGACATGAACATCATTGAGCATCTATGGGACCATTTCAAGCGGAAAGTACGAGCCCGAGACCCAGCTCCCAAGAATCTAGATGAGCTTTGGGCTGCGATTGTGGAGGAGTGGTACCGGATTGATGTTGCCACAGTACGCCGCCTATACTCGAGCTTACCCCGGAGGGCCCTGGCTCTGAAGAAGGCTAAGGGTGCTAATACAAAGTACTAAATCAGGTCAGTCATTCAGGCCGAGAATTATTTTTTATAAATTTATTGATTCCATCTAACCAGTTCTGAGGGTACCGGGTTCGAGATGAATTTACCTCCTGGAAGCAAGGAGTGGGGCATCTAGGGCTGAAAGTCTGTATGCATTTATCTTACATAGAGTAGTTACAAATCATGAATATACATCGATCCATGTTGCCCCTGATCTGCCCAGAACCGTGAAAGTGGTGGCAGTGCAGATACTTTTGTCCGCCACTGTATAAGGTATTGTTTGGCTGGGACAAACAGAAACGCGCGAAACGCAGTTTCCGGACTTTTATGCAAAGCACTGTAAGGGTCCCGTCCTAGTCCACGGAGATCATCGATAACAAGTAAATTCGGACCAGGCCAGGACCACGTCGTTCGTCATCTGAGGGCTCGCGGTGAAGAGAGGGGGTAGGATGAACAAGCAGAGTCGAGGCATCCACACAGAAAAGGTCACTAAAGCACTGTGTGACGGCGTATACCAGCATCAAGCGCCAGAGTAGAAGACAAGTAGGACCGTGGTGACTGCAAGACTTAGACTGACAGTCACGATACAACTCACGTCGGCTTTTGCCGGCTCCCTTTGCCACAGCAGTCCGGGAACTGCGAATACTTACACCATTCCTGAAGCCATTCCGGCAATGTGCTGTATAGTATGTGTCTCATTTGTCGTCCTAAAGATATATCACCCGCATAAAACTGCGAAGCCATATCGCTTACCATTTCCGCCGGCAACCGAAGCGTTGGTCAATAATCGGCCAAGTCCTTGATTTACCTACTCACGTTCCATTTGGGCGGGGAACTTCGGTGGGCATTTCCACGGTGCCCATAGCTTCATGGTAGAGGGTGACCCGTGCTGCGCAGGCAGTCTGGTACACGCCAGAGCCTTTGGTCAGCATATCGAGAGTTACGATGTATTCTGACCACTCGTTGTACACAAACTGGCACTAAGGTAGCAGCGCACAATACGCCATAATTCCTGTGATCGCTGACGACAAACATTCAAGTGCGCTGAAACCTTGCTAGTACAGCCTGACGCTCGCAGTAGCAGGAATCTCGCCAGCGCAAGACAATAATTAGGTCTCTGCAAGCCACCAGTAAATCGAAGCGCGTATGGGACATGTAGCGAGAGGTACACACCACAATCCACCTGCATGTAGCTGAAACTTGCTAAGTTTTGCTGACACCCGCTCACAGGCGCTTCGATAACGTTGTTTGCACTTATAGTGCACGTGTTGTCCGTCGCGAACGTGTACACAGTGCACCCGGTTCCCAGCGTCGAGACGAGCACTGAGGCGCCGTTAACACATGCAGTGCACGCAGATATTCCACCCTGTCCATCCAAGTCCGCGAGGAGCTCGCCGGTGCAATCTGTACTGACGTACGCCTGGACATCGTACTCCTGAGCGAGCACCAGCATAGGGGTGAAGATCGAGAGGACAACATAGAGGTAAGGTTTCATTATCGCTGCTTGCATGAGTGTGTAAGTGGCCTGATGATGAGAAGATAGTAGGGGCTCCCTACTTGTAAACGAACTGGCCGATGAACTGCTGGATGTTGATTTTAAAGCACCCTACCTCCAGCTCTTTTATTCCTGTACAGTGAATTCCAGAAATAACCTGATGAATTCATGCATGATCGAACTCGAAGCATTTCCAGCGGCTTAAGCGCCGGTCAAGGCAATACGCAGAGACAACCACAGGCATATGCTCATTTAGATGATGTAGTGGTTAGTTGGACAACCACCTGGATATTCGTATTTTTGGAAACGCACGTACCCCCTGCACCAGTGTCAGTACTACGATTGGATAGAGCCGTTCACCTGGCTGCCAGAGCACGACGCCACATCGGCCTGCATATTCATCGGTGTTGACGAAACTCCACAGAAGGTTGAGGGTCCTCATCTCCCAGCAAGAAGGCTCCGACATATGTAGACTTGAACCCGTAATCACAGTCTTGCATAACGGGGGACGGAGTATGCTAGTTCACCGGTCAATCATCCCGGAAGATCAAATTGCCCACCCACTAGTTCATGAAGGACTCCCCCCGACTCCCCATCACCTTTTTATTCATCAGAAGGGGGTTTACCTGCGTGCTGGTAGCAAGCAATGCCATGCCAGTGTGCGCTACTCAAGCTGCCTATTTGATCCTAGCTCACTTCGAACACACTCTTTGGGCCTCATTATCGTGATTTCTCCTTGTTACAGCAACAGCTGCTCCAATATTAGTATTTCCATGAGCGAATAAGGATGCAGCATTAGTCGACCCTTCGCACCTGGCAAAGGTGCCCCGTCAAAAGAACTGAGAAAACGCACCTAGCTAACTTCACCAGAATAAGCACACCAACCGCGTTGTCCCCGCTTAGACGGAGTACATACGGAGACCCCCATTTGCCATGTAAAGAATCAGAAATCACGAGTACATGAGACGGAACGAGGGGACAAGAAAACACGAGCTTATTTCCCCAAGCCCTGAGACGACCCGTTGTTGTGAATGCAGAGCCTATGTTCGTCTGCTCGACTTGCCTGCCGCGGATATGATGTGAGGGCAATCGTAGCCCAATGCATGCTTTGTGTCATCGGAAGACTGCTGCTCCTATGAAGAGAAAAGAATAAACATCGGACAAATGACGGAACTCCAGGTGCACCGTGAAGGCAAGGAAATATCCATGTAAGGGGGCAGCTGTAACCCAGAGCAACCGCTAAATCAACCTACAGCCACCCGGAAGGATCGACCTTCCTAGTCCGGGCCATTGAGGATGTCGCAGGAGATAGGCAGCATCATCAAGACACCTAACATTCATGAGTGAGTGGAGCAGCTAGCAGTAGCTATTAAGGGCACAGACACCCTGAAAGGAGCTGCGTGTACTAGTCAGCAGATCAAGGTATGCTGTCAAACCATGGTCGAAATGGAGAAAACTTCCACCTACCTCCACTATCGGATAGTCCGAACAGTCAGTTCGAGGTCCCTTAGATGCCTGAGATGGCTCGACAGAGCGCATTACGTACCTACTCCATACCAACCAGGATGACTTTGCCGCCTTAACTAGATTGCTGGATTGAATCAACCCTGGTATATGACGGGTGTGCATGAACAACAGCAAACCTAAAAGTCAGGACACAGGATCTAATGCTGAAGAAAACTTGGCTCGCACTGTGCACAAGCCCTGATAAAGCCCAGAAAGCGCTCCGTACGCGTACCCCAGCCCTGCACGGGGGATGCAAGCGCCGACGAGTGAAGGCTGTGGCATACGCTTACAGGAAACGGACGGAGCATGATAGACTACTTTGGGGAATGCCACATTCGCTTGAATATTCCGGTCCCAGGCTCACCTTTACGCGGATGGCCACGGACTGAAGGTCGCTGTCCAATTCGTTGACGTAAGGTCGAATGAGGAAAGTTGCGAATACCAGGATTAATACCAGCGCCACTGCATCTGATTCGAAGCCCAGTGCACGTGTATTGCCTGTGGGCGATGGTGTCAAGCCCCTGCAACACACCATACTAGAAGACTGAGTTCCGCGTCGAATCCAAAGACGATGAGAGCCCGATCCCCATTAAGTCTGATACTGAGCTCCGCTGCGCATATATTGCCTATGGCCAATTGATCCAGGACCCCGCTGCATATCGTGGAGACGCCTTTTCATGAACCAATGCTGTCCTGTCTGCTTCCGAGCTCCGGTGAGCGTTTATTGCCTGTGGTCAATACTCGAGATCCGGCGATACCACAAGGGCTGTGCATGGAAGCCTCAGAAGCGCACTGCATTAGAGGCCAACAAAAGATAGAAGTGTGTCAATAAGATTCGGCCATCCAATGTCGATCATGACTGTCGGGGTAGCAGTCGCTCCCGGGCGAGATTCTTCCGTCTCCCGAGTATCGACTGACCAGGGTCCGGTTATCCTATGAATACGTCTCTTGTATCAGGGTCATTGTCATCCGACATCCAAGCTCCGATGCGCGTATTATGCCTATGGCTTATAAAACCTGAGGAGCATGCTGCAGACGAGCTCGTGTCAAGTTGACGTCCCCAGAAGGCCTCTCCTTTGCCAGCGTACTGTGTCTGACTCCAGGCTCCGGACGAATGGATGCGCACGAATCACTATGGCGCTTTGCCCTGAGATCGAGCTACGAACCGGATTGCAGCTGGAGCTATCTACGACGCGTTCAGCGGTAGTGTGCATGACGTACTACCTGGTGTTCTAAGTGCAATCCAAGTTCCCAATGGAATTGCGGGCAGGAAGCTCTGGTGTCCAAAGAAGTACACGCCAGGGATGGACTGCGTCCTCTGCCCCGAGGTTCCGTCTCGTGAATCACATCCCGGTGGCTCGCAGGAAGCGTGCGTCATGGCCGGGCATCAAACAATGCCATGACGCACCAGCTGGTAAATCCGCGAGGGGTCACGAATGGGATAGGAAAGGTAGGCCGCACCAACCGCATCGAGACCGGAATACCCAGCATGCGATGGTCCTCCTAGAGCGAACGAACAGGCGATATTCGCAGCGCGCCTATCATGTAGCACAGTTATACGGCAAGGCATCAATCGACGTCGCTTCGTTCGCAAGACCATATAGAGAGAAGTTGGCATCGCCAAAGCTTGGATGTAATAACGCACCATACACAGTACGAGCAGAGAACGCGCATATAGTGAGCACGATTCATATCCAGGGCTGGTGAACCTCGGGACGTCCAGTACCCGGTGCTCAGCTCAGTCCCAGCACGCGGGCTTCCAGAGGTTCCTAGCATCCCGGGTTTGTTACACAACTACCCTGAATCCGGCCGGAACGGAAGTTATAAACCACCTTGAGCCCCGGTACGTCCGAGCAATCCAGACCAGTCCGCGAACCACCTAGCCCGCGGGATGAAAGAGAACCCAAGAGAACCACAGACACATATACCAATATGTATACGAAACACGCGGTCGTAATATCCGAGCGACAATCCGCCTCGAATGGGTAGGTCAGGTCATGGTGAGCGGGAGCGAGGGGGGAAGGAAGACGAACGACGATCCAGAGGTAGATTTTGGGGTGCCCATGCAGCGCGACAGCTGCGTCGCCAAGAATGAGACGTCCGAGGTACATACCGACCTCGCATATCGATCTTCGTACGTCGGCAAAGCCTGTAAAGTCGAGCCATAAGCGGTCGGGTGAGTGTGCTAGATTGCCAGTGCACAAGATATAATTGTGGAGTGAGCCATCTAGTGTAACGCGTCGCTTTCTCGCGCCGGCGTGAGGTTCAGTGACAGGGCTGTTATATCGTTCCGACTTGCCACCGCGCAAGATGTGAGGAAAGGGGGGGTGCGAAGGGGCACTCGTCATACCCCATACTCTTGCATCCAGCGGACAGTCCTACTTCCCAACCCATGGCAGAAAACGTCCGTCACGAAAATGGCAGGCAGTGCTGCAAGTGAGGGGGAATGATACAGACCTGGACCGTCATCCGTCACTAGAGCGAACGTCATCCCGCCGCGATGACCCGCGCATACCATTTACCTCGTCAGAGTTATGATAGACTGCGTCCGACGACGCAGAGACGGAGGTTATCTTCGGTATGAGGTATCATCGGCTTCGTCGGATTTCAATGAGATATGGCCCAAACGTCATCGGCAGGCGGGAGTGAGAAAGAAAGGAGCGCATATATCGACTCTCCGGGAAAAGAGAGGGATCGACGGTACATCCAGGATAGGGGGCCTCCGGGAGAAGAGGCACGGTTGAATTCGACGGGGTTGGATGCATTTCATGTCCAGCAGTATTTGATCCTGTTCTCGAGCCGTGAAAAGAGTGCGAATGGGCGACAGACTCAGAGGCTGCCCAACGCAAGTCTCCACTTGATCACAGTACGCAATATGGCCACATAAGAATAGCAGTCGGACGCTATGAGGTCTAAAACTCGAGAGTCAGAATGACGCGTCCAAGATGAACTGGCATTACGCAGAGGCCAGGAGATCGTCCCGCGCAGCGGAAATTGACGGAAAACGAACCAGCAAACCGCGATCACGACTGGAACGGTCGGTCAAGCCGGATGTGACGAATATTAAAGATAAGAGTACCACCGGGCGGGGGTAGGTAGTTAATATCATAGCGACACAACCGTCGGAACGTCAGCATAGCTCCAACCCAGATGCGTCGACATCGCAGGCCGGTCAGTAGCTAAGGTCACAGCCAGCAGACTACTGCCACCAAGGTGGCCTTGCTGGTGCTCTTGTCGCCCGTGGTCGAGTGTACGGGAAGCGGGAACGAGAGCACGAGCGGGGCCACGATGATGGAATAACGCACCGACGCTTCATATGCGATATCCCTCGTCCTCGATTGGCTCACCTCAAGCTTGGGACGGTGGCTGCACTGCAATGCATTTGATCCCGATTGATAAAAGTAAAGTGGGCAGGTGCAGCTTCGATACTGTATTTAGTGTTCCATACGGGTACATCGATATCGGGCTCGCCGGCGGCAACGTCGTGAAGTTCACCGGGTGACATCGATTTGGCTTGGTGCCCTGGAAGGCGATGGGATTGTCACGTTCATTCGTCCGTGCTCGTCCTGACAGGAGGGACAGAGATCAAGACCAGGATTGGCCGGCCTTTGTGTCCAGAGATAAGATCATAATCAAGTCAGCTGTCGATGTCAAGATCATCATTAATATTACAGAGCCAGAGGCCAATGCGCATTTGCAGCCATGACGAGGGCGTCCATGACAAAGGTCTCTGCGCGATGTTCCGTCGACATGGATCCACACCACCCTCATCACCCGCAGCGCGCATCGTCCCTGGGTGTCCATAGCGACCACCACATTCTCCTTGCGTCGACGTCCCCCTTGAGGACATCGCGCCGCGTCAGAGTCCACGCCATACCGTACGGAAAACGTCAACTGCACCCTTTGCGATATATTCGACGCACCATACTCCACAAGCGACGTCAGCCCCAGACGCAGACTCGACGTTTCCCCTCACTGCGAGCGCGAGGGAGCCAATCGGGGTTTGCCGAAAGCAGCGTCGGCTAAGAATAAGGTCAAGCGCGTTCGCTGCTGGCAGGTGATTCGTGGGAAGCCTAGGCCCGGCCCCGCATGTAAAATGAAAAGCGGGGCCGACGCGCAACATTAGACGTCGAGTTCGTTGGGGAGGGAGCCGGCATCTTCGTTCTTGACTACATAACGTTGCCCACACATGCGTGGAGAGTGCCATCCATTAGCGCAGAGGTCGTATAAGAGCGCAACAAGAGCACGGAGAGACGACACACGTCGTGGTCATCTGTGAAGGCAGCGCGTCGTCACCGCTTCCGTCAGCACGATCAACGGCGGGGCGTCGCGGTCCAGGCCCGCGCGTTTCTCCCCGATCGGGAAGCAGGTCCCGGAAATTCTGGGGTGGGGAACGAGTGAAACGCTCAGCGGGGACCGTCATATCTGTTCCCCGACAACGCCTTGTCTCGTCTGCTTTCTTGCTTTTGTGCTTGTTGTACCATTGTACATTGTTGCTCTTGTTTGCGGCGACGTTGGGGTCAGTACTTGAAGGATAATCGCCGCCTCGTGCAGGGACCTACTCCATCGCCAGGTGCGTGTACGCCCTTGTCCGCGTGTCCCAAGTAGTGAGCTAATCCACTGCAATTGCAGCCAACGCCCAACAATGTCACGTTCCCCAAACTCTATCTCGCGGACGGACACGCAGATCAGCAGCAGGACGGGGCAGCAGCTGCACTCAGGGCCCGGCTCATCGGGCAGCAGTACTGACTATCAGATCGAAAGCCCCCGCGGGCGCGCGCGGCGTGTATCCGCGCAATCCCCTCCTCGCTGCAGGCCGAGTTCCAGCTCTGGCTCGTCGACAAACCAGTTCGCCCGGCCCAGGAATAGCTCGTCTTCCGAGCCTTCGAGTTCGAGTTCGAGTTCGCGATCGCCCCCGCGGCCCAAGCAGGATATCGCCTCTCGCCACGCCCGGTTCTCGACAGCTGATCGCACCGCGAATACAAATACGCCCCCTGCGCTGGCTTCGGTCCCTGCCCACCCCGCAGCGTGTATTAAACCACCGCCAGTCACTGTCGCTTCGCCGCTTCTCTCCCCACACCCCCGGCCGTACACGCAAGCGTATAAATCGCACTCGTACCTGAGCAGCCCGTCGACGCCCACCCCGCGACGCACACACTCGCCCGCAACGCCCGCAACGCCCACGCCGCGCTCGCCGCTGACGTCGACCCAGTCCTCGCCGCGCACGCCGTCCAGGCGCTTACCGTCGTCGCTCTTCCTCACCGCCCAACAGCCAAGAACGTCCACGCCCCCGCCGCTCACGAAAGCAAAAGCGACGCTCGCCATGTCCATCCAGGTCCCGCGCACGCCCGAGTCGCACTGCGAGCGCGGGCGCAGGGACGCGAAGAACCCGCGCCTGAGGGGGCGCAGCGAGAGCCGCAGCGAGCGCCTGCTCCGCGACACGCTGCGCAGAGCCGAGGAGGCCGAGCGCGCGCGCATGCCCGCCAGCCCGTCCCCGTCCAAGTTCCGCATCACGCCCATCCCCACGCCCGCCTGCGAGTGCGAGCAGGACTGGGCGCTCTTCCGCGCACCTGAGGAGGGACGGCCGGGGATGGTCCGGAACTGGACGTACGGCGTCGAGAAGGAGAGGGAGAGGAATCATAGCAGGAAGCCGAGTGCCAGCTCCGCGTATTCATTCTCCTCCGCGGACCACCACCAGGGGGCGACGAGCCCAAGATTGACGAGGAGCCCGACGTCGCCTGTCTTGGGCAGGGAGAGGGAGACGCCGCATGGCGCGGTGCTGAGGAGCCGGCTCGAGGGCGTCTTGAGGGGCGCAGAGTGGGACTCGCAGTCGCAGGTCAGCATGGCTGACTCACTATATGCGCGGTGGATGGGCGCTGACGATCCGATTATATGCAGAGCTCGAAACCGCATTTACCCACACCGGCGCACTCGCCCGGCAGCCCGCCCACCCCGCCGAGCGACGGCGGGCTCGTCTCGCCCTCGGCGCGATCGCGCGAGAAGGAGGTGTACCACTCGCCGACGTCGACGTCGCCCCGCGGCCCGCTCACGCCGCCGCCCACGCCGCCGACGTACCCGCATACACCGACGCGCACGCAGTCCTCGCCGTACTTCTCGCAGCTCAGCCAGCAAAGCACGGTGCCGACGTTCGACGCGCGCCACGCGGCGGAGCAGTGCAAGCAGATGACGGGCCTCGTCAGCTTTTGTAACGTCGAGGGACTGGGGTGTCCCGAAGAGGAGGGCGAGGAGGAGGGCGAGCGCGGTGGGCGGTGGGGAAGGGTGGGGAGGTTGATCTGGGGCGAGGGGAGGTAGACCTGGTCTGGTCGACGGGACTGGAGGACGCCATTATTATCGGTCGCCGCTCGACTTTGGCCGTCGACGCTGACCGTATTTAAACGCTCGCATACACGCACGCTCGCATACATGCAACGCTACGCCACACGGACGAACTCGCCATGTTTTCATGCTTATGCTCATGCACCACTACGACGCGCCGAGGTCCGCACGACCGCGCCAGGCGGGCCCTCTGCGACCCGTCGACATTCTTATGTATCTATCCGCTCCGACTTGGAGGGGATCCGGCAGGGTGTACGAGGTGTACGGAATAGACTTGGGTTGCTTTTCTTTCCCCGTTTTCCCATTTCCTTACCATCGGGTATGCTTGCTTTCGACGTATTTATTCTACTTTTTTCGTTGTGCTGTGAGTCTACCGAGGGGACGGTGCATGTATGGATGGATAGAAATGAATAGACGAACTACAAACAACTGGCGATGGGAGGCTGAGTCTAACGAACACGAGTGCGCCGGTGCCTGTCTCTTGACCTGGGGTCGGTGACGCTAGGAAACGGGGCACTTGCAATTGCGACAGGTGCTGGACATGTGGACGCGCGTTTGTGTTGCGAGAAGGCGTGGTGCGGAGCGCGGAGGTCTGGATCGACTCTTTGGTTGAATGATCGAGGCTAGTAGTTTGACAGGTCTGCTGTGCTGGTGTTCTGTGTCGAAACTGGATTGGCGATTCTGAACTTGCGATTGTGATTTGTCTTGACCCTGCTGCTGTTGGCTCGGAACAGGTAGTCTCTGATATCGACCCTCGAGGCTACTCGAGTGAAGAGTTCGTCTAGATCGACGGCTGGGTTGGTTAGCGTTGACTCTGTTGATACGGGACACGAAGTTTGTTACTTACGTAGCCTGAACGTAAACCATCCCAGACTCTCTGTGAGTGCTAATGACACCGGAGTGGATGTGAGACACTACCGGCGAGTGGTCGAGGCACTTCCGCGTAGTGCCAAAGGCACTAGCCGGCTAAGTGTGTTAGACAGTTTGTTACATAAGTGCCAAAGGCACTCCAATGCAATGCCAGAAACACTCTTTGAGTGCCCATGGCACTTGACGGAAGCGTCCGAAAGCACTTTGGTAGAGTATCAAAGACACTTGAAGGCAGTGCCAAAGACACTTGTCACAGGTGCCCAAGATACTTCAACAGAGTGTCAAGGACATTCTCAGCGAGTCCCAAAAGCATACGAATGCAGTGCCAAAGACACTTAATGGAAAGTGCCTAAGGCACGAGAATACAGAGTTCAAAGCACTTCAGCACAATGTCAAAGACACCTAGGCTAAGCATGAAAGGCACTCCAGCACAGTGTCAAAGACACTGCATCAATGAGATCCAAGGGACCAAAGTCACTTCTGGCAAGCATCCCAGGCCCGACTCTGGGTGTGCTGAAGGTAATCATCAGAAGTGTCTTAGACAGTTTCAATAATTGCCCAAGGCACACTGGGTCAGATATCTTCCCTATACAGGTCAGTGCCCGAGGCGCTTTGAGGTGAGCAATTAGTACCTTCAGCACTTGTGTCAGATCACACATCTCTTTGTAGATGGGTATTCATCGTTCTCGACCATCCATGCGCTTTGGTGCCCCGAGGGACCTACAGGTGCCATCGGTCCAAGGTTGAGGCCCAGTGGAAATCGACAATATTTTCGTGTTTTTAGATATGTTCCTCTATATAACAGGTAGTGCGGCCGTCTAACAAATGGTAGAACTCGAGCAGAGTCTCGGACACGTCGGGTTTTGAAGTGAGAAAGTCACACAGTGACATCGTGGCGGTCACGCGCCACGTGTGTGTGGCGAGGTGTGAATTCACCCACGTCCTCGGGACGCGAGAGGAGATATCTGATAATACAACGTAAACTACGAGGGTTTATATACACAGAATAACTCCACTATGATATAAGACAAGAGAAATATGAGTCAGAACGAATAGCCAAGGCACAAGGTACAAAGTGGAATAAGTGGCTAAAGTGAGACATAACTACGAAAAAAGAAAGAAACAAATAAAGCCAAATACATATTACAACAGAGGCCAATCCTGGCCAATCCTGGTCTGGATCTGCATGGCTCTGTCCCTCCTGGCAGGACGAGCAAGGACGAATGAACGTGATAATCCCATCGCCTTCCAGGGTGAACTTCACGAAGTTGCCGCCGGCGAGCCCGATATCGATGTACATGTATGGAACACTAAATATCAAAGCTGCACCCGCCTCAATCGGGATCAAATGCATTGCAGCGCAGCCACCGTCCCAAGCTTGAGGTGAGCCAATCGAGGACGAGGGATATCGCATATGAAGCGTCGGTGCGTTATTCCATCATCGTGGCCCCGCTCGTGCTCTTGTTCCCGCTTCCCGTACACTCGACCACGGGCGACAAGAGCACCAGCAAGGGCACCTTGGTGGCAGTAGTCTGCTGGCTGTGACCTTAGCTACTGACCGGCCTGCGATGTCGACGCATCTGGGTTGGAGCTATGCTGACGTTCCGACGGTTGTGTCGCTATGATATTAACTACCTACCCCCACCCGGTGGTACTCCTATCTTCAATATTCGTCACATCCGGCCTGACCAACCGTTCCAGTCGTGATCGCGGTTTGCTGGTTCGTTTTCCGTCAATTTCCGCTGCGCGGGACGATCTCCTGGCCTCTGCGTAATGCCAGTTCGTCGTGGACGCGTCATTCTGACTCTCGAGTTTTAGACCTCATAGCGTCCGACTGCTATTCTTACGTGGCCATATTGCGTACTGTGATCAAGTGGAGACTTGCATTGGGCAGCCTCTGAGTCTGTCGCCCATTCGTACTCTTTTCACGGCTCGAGAACAGGATCAAATACCGCTGGACACGAAATGCATCCAACCCCGTCGAATTCAACCATGCCTCTTCTCCCGGAGGCCCCCTATCCTGGATGTACCGTCGATCCCTCTCTTTTCCCGGAGAGTCGATATATGCGCTCCTTTCTTTCTCACTCCCGCCTGCCGATGACGTTTGGGCCATATGTCGTCGAGATCCAACGAAGCCGATGATACCTCATACCGAAGATAACCTCCGTCTCTGCGTCGTCGGACGCAGTCTATCATAACTCTGACGAGGTAAATGGTATGCGCGGGTCATCGCGGCGGGATGATGTTCGCTCTAATGACGGATGACGGTCCAGGTCTGTATCATTCCCCCTCATTTGCAGCACTGCCTGCCATTTTCGTGACGGACGTTTTCTGCCATGGGTAGGGAAGTAGGACTGTCCGCTGGATGCAAGAGTATGGGGTATGACGAGCGCCCCTTCGCACCCCCCCTTTCCTCACATCTTGCGCGGTGGCAAGTCGGAACGATATAACAGCCCTCTCACTGAACCTCACGCCGGCGCGAGAAACCGACGCGTTACACTAGATGGCTCACTCCACAATTATATCTCGTGCACAGGCGATCTAGCACACTCACCCGACCGCCTATGGCTCGACTTTACAGGCTTTGCCGACGTACGAAGATCGATATGCAAGGCAGGCATGTACCTCGGACGTCTCATTCTTGGCGACGCAGCTGTCGCGCTGCATGGGCACCCCAAAATCTACCTCTGGATCGTCGTTCGTCTTCCTTCCCTCCTCCCTCCCGCTTGCCATGACCTGACCTACCCATTCGAGGCGGATTGTCGCTCGGATATTACGACCGCGTGTTTCGTATACATATTGGTATATGTGTCTGTGGTTCTCTTGGGTTCTCTTTCATCCCGCGGGCTAGGTGGTTCACGGACTGGACTGGTTTGCTCGGACGTACCGGGGCTCAAGGTGGTTTATAACTTCCGTTCGGGCCGGATTCAAGGTAGTTGTGTATACAAACCCGGGATACTAGGAATTTCTGGAAGCCCGCGTGCTGGGACTGAGCTGAGCACCGGGTACTGGACGTCCCGAGGTTCACCGGCCCTCGTGGATATGAATCGTGCTCACTATACGCGCGTTCTCTGCTCGTACTGTGTGGTGCGTTACATCCGAGCTTTGGAGATGCTGACTTCTCTCTATATGGTCTTGCGAACGAAGCGACGTCGATTGATGCCTTGTCGTATAACTGTGATACATGATAGGCGCGCTGCGAATATCACCTGTTCGTTCGCTCAAGGAGGACCATCGCATGCTGGATACTACTGTCTCGATCCGGTTGGTGCGGCCTACCTTTCCTATCCCATTCGTGACCCCTCGCGGATTTAGGAGCTGGTACCTCATGGCATTGTTTGATGCCCGGCCATGATGCACGCTTCCTGCGAGGCACCGGGACCTGATTCCTCGGGGCAGAGGACGCAGTCCATCCCTGGCGTGTACTTCCTTGGACACCAGAGCTTCCTGCCCGCGATTCCATTGGGAACTTGGATTGCGCTTAGAACACCAGTCATGCACACTACCGCTGAACGCGTCGTTGATAGCTCCAGCTGCAATCCGGTTCGTAGCTCGATCTCAGGGCAAAGCGCGATAGTGATTCGTGCGCATCCATTCGTCCGGAGCCTGGAGTCAGATACAGTACGCTGGCAAAGGAGAGGCCTTCTGGGGACGTCAACTTGACACGAGCTCGTCTGCAGCATGCTCCTCAGGATCTATAAGCCATAGGCATAATACGCGCATCGGAGCTTGGATGTCGGATGACAATGACCCTGATACAAGAGACGTATTCATAGGATAACCGGACCCTGGTCAGTCGATACTCGGGAGACGGAAGAATCTCGCCCGGGAGCGACTGCTACCCCGACAGTCATGATCGACATTGGATGGCCAAATCTTATTGAAACACTTCTATCTTTGCTGGCCTCTAATGCAGTGCGCTTCTGAGGCTTCGATGCACAGCCCTTGTGGTATATCTGCCGGATTTCGAGTATTGACCACAGGCAATAAACGCTCACCGGAGCTCGGAAGCAGACACGACAGCATTGGTTCATGAAAAGGCGTCTCCACGATATGCAGTGGGGTTCTGGATCAATTGGCCATAGGCAATATATGCGCAGCGGAGCTCAGTATCAGACTTAATGGGGATCGGGCTGTCGTCGTCTTTGGATTCGACGCGGAACTCAGTCTTCTAGTATGGTGTGTTGCAGGGGCTTGACACCATCGCCCACAGGCAATACACGCGCACTGGGGCTTCGAATCAGATGCAATGGCCTCTGTCGAGCCGTCTCAGGCGTCTAAGGGACCTCGGACGACTGTTCAGGCTATCCGTAGTGGAGGTAGGTGGAAGTTGTCTCCATGTTGTCTCCATTTCGACCACGGTTTGACAGCATACCTTGATCTGCTGACCAGTACACGCAGCTCCTTTCAGGGTGTCTGTGCCCTTAATAGCTACTGCTAGCTGCTCCACTCATTCATGAATGTTAGGTGTCTTGATGATGCTGCCTATCTCCTGCGACATCCTCAAAGGCCCGGACTCGGAAGGTCAATCTTTCCGGGTGGCTGTAGGTTGATTTCGCGTTGCTCTGGGTTACAGCTGCTTGTCTTCACGGTGCACCTGGAGTTCCGTCATTTGTTCGATGTTTATTCTTTTCTCTTCATAGGAGCAGCAGTCTTCCGATGACACAAAGCAAGCATTGGGCTATGATTGCCCTCACGTCATATCCGCGGCGGCCAAGTCGAGCAGACGAACATAGGCTCTGCGATTCACGACAACGGGTCGTCTCAGGGCTTGGGAAAATGAGCTCATGTTTTCTTGTCTCTCGTCCCGTCTCATGTAACTCGTGATTTCTGATTCTTTACCAGGTTGCAAGATGGCGGTTTCCGTATGTACTCCATCTAAGCCGGGAGTAACGTGATAGGTGTGCTTATTCTGGGTGAGTTAGCTAGGTGCGTTTTCTCAGTTCTTTTGACGGGGCGCCTTTGTGGGGTGCGAAGGGTCGACTGACGCTGCATTGTTATTCGCGCATCGAAATAATATTGGAGCAGCTGGCGCTATAACAAGGAGAAATCACGATAATGAGGCCCAAAGAGATCATGGTGGAATATATGGCTGTACCCGCCAGTTGCCATCAAGTCCGGGCCCAGCAGTTACGTGGAATGGCTGCGACTACCGTGATGCCGAGCTCAGCATCTCAGGATATATGTGGCCTACAGATTCAGTTACGGCCTCCAGCTGGGCATCGTGACTCACTATCGTCCCTCGAAGACACGCACCTCTGCATCTTGACTCCTGACCTTAAACTGCTTCGTACCCGCCTGCAGACGTGCAATACCGGGGGATCAGTTTATCTCGTTGTTGGGTATCCACGATGGTAGGAACTGATGCGGCCGTCTAACAAATGGTAGAACTCGAGCAGAGTCTCGGACACGTCGGATTTTAAGTGAGAAACTCACACAGTGACATCGTGGTGGTCACGTGCCACGTGTCGACCGACGACTCCAAATTGTTTGACGGTTATAATCATAATGTGCTTTTGCTTCGACGTACCGGGTCCTAGTCTCAGTCATAGGAGTTCGTGCCTCGTCATCCGTGAAAGGCGATACACGAGCTCAAAATCGCGCTCTCAATTGGACTAGAGATGATTTCCATATCGCCTTCCAGGCTTGATGCGCAACTCTTCCAATGATCTGCTGACGGTTTCTCAATCAATGTCTACGCATATAAGGGCCCCGGAGCTTCGTACTAGGCTGAACTGTGCTGGTGTACTGAATGCCTATAGAGGATCTGATACAGGGGCCCATCTTCAGGCGCAATATGTTGCACGGGTGTGGACAAATCGCCCGCAGCGAGATCTTCCGGCCCTGTTCGTCAATCAAGTTCCACCCTACGTCAATAACTTTGGTACTGGAATAGCGTGATGCGACGATGAGCAGCTTGGCCATTCGCAGAATGGCAGGAACTTGCGTCTCTGTAACTGCTCGGTGGCGCTCGTACTTCCCTGTGGCTCTGAGGTACGCATAAAGCGGAGTACGGATCAGGATCTCAAGCTTGGAATATTGCGAGTCAGGCGTTGGTCGCCTTCATTCAGCATCAGAACCTGACTTCCTAGTTGGCGTTCGTCGTGGTTTCTGCATATACGTCATAAAACTTCTCCCTTGCAACGTGACGCTCTAATTTCAGCCCACGATATTTGGGGAATGGGTCATATGGCAGGCGGCAATGTCGTCTGCGGTCTTTGGCTTGCACGGTGCGGAGTAGGTATGTGAAATACGACCTGACTTTGGAGGGGTATGCAGACTCGGATCAATGACCAGGTTATCCGACGGTGAGGTGAGTGGAAGCTTGCACCAGTTCGATCGCGGTTTAGTTCGGCGGTTAACTTGGTCGTCGCAGAATGTGCGTGTTCTCAGGGTATATGCGCCCCTTGGGGCACTCATCCAGTTTTTTCATGAAAATTCTAAGGTTCTCTGTCTCGCAGCCTATCTCTTGCGCCCCGTCAATGGTCTGTAAAGGTCGAGACCTCAATTAATCGAGGGCTCATGCAGTCATTTGGATGACCACTCCGTTGGATGTCCCCTTCAGTGAGTGGTTCCTTACCTTCACTGTGTGCTGAGAGTTCGAGCATTTGTCTCCGAGATACAGCAGAAGGCATCAGTTTCCTGTCACATGATGGACACTTACTTGACGTGGACAAGGTCCCAAACGTTGATGATCCATTCAGCACTGGCCGTTGCGAATCCCCGAATTCTTCTTCCTCTCGTCTCTTTATTGGTCGATCGGGCAAACCGTTCCGACATGATCCCATGTTGTGCCCCCGAAAGCCCTCACAACTAGCTCGCAGTACGAGCGAGTTTTTGACATGTGAACTGCGGAAGGCCACTTGCTCTCTCCACTTGTCTAGACTCACTGTATTCTTCACAGTCTCTCCTGCAATTATTACTCAATCGCATCTCAACCCCGTCATCCGGTCCCATCAAGCAACAACCTCCGAGAACATCATCACCCCGCACCCACTATTTCCCCGCAGCATATCGGCCTCTCCCGCAAACGGATTCAATTGTATGTATTCCTTAAGTCCTGGGTCACATAGTTTCAACGGTCTCTTCTACGTGCTTCTCTAGATATCTTCTCTTCTGTGTACTGACTCCGCTCATCTCGCCTTTACTGACATCACTCCTTCTAGACTGGTCCGAGCGTTAGTCTGTGTCCGGCTGACGTGCTCCGCTTTGTTGTACGTACGAATGCTTCCGTCTTTCCATATCCCGTAGGTATGTTCTTCTCATGTTTATCTGATAGTTGTAGACTCAGCCACCTTCTCTCATGTTCACCGGGTGAGCCTGCATGTTTATTTGGTAACGGAGACGCCGGCCCTTCGAAAGGGCTATGCCACATTCCGTGTTTTTCATCGTCGTACGGACCCCGCCACCTCCCTTGTTCTCGGCCTCAGACAGACGCAAAGGCAACGGATACACGTGGACTCCAGCTAATCGCTCGTGCTAGTTCACTGTCAAGCTCTATCGACTCCCACGCACCCACACCGACCACTTTATTCATCTCTGACTGTCGCTGAGTCTTTCGTTGCTTACCTCGTTTTATGCATATGGCTTGTACTTAGCAGAGTCGTACTGAGGCCACATCATATTGTTCTTGTTGCTATTGCGGTGCTTTTGCATACAGTATTATCGTCTGAAATCTGGGAACGACACGATCAGGGTGGCTACAACTGCGCCCCCTGTTCGCCGCTCGAGTTTCATCTAACTGTTAGTGAGTCAATCACGGTGTTTTTGATACATGAGTACACAACGGCAGTACCATATCAGCGGAAGTGCGGCATCCAGACTTACTATTTGACATGTTGGTGCACCATCCTTCGGGGGCAGCGATATATACAATGCGCATATACGAACTTCGAAGAACCACAAAAAAGCCATTAGATGAACGTCGCGCGCTCCGCTGAGAGGTCAGCACCACATGTCCCTCCCACTCGCCAGCGCCATAGCGCCAAGGCTCGTCACAAACTCCTGCACGCCTCATGATACACTCCGTGATAAACTAAAGATTAAGACCTTGAACCAAGATACGTTATGAGCTTATGAATAATCATATAGAGCGGAGCTGGAGCAAAAAAGGAAGACTAGGATCGTGGAATAGACATGGAAGACTGACGTTATAAATTATAGCATAGCGCTAGAGTCCGCATTACTCTCCCGGGACGTTTGCAAAGCGTGAAGCGATGCGAGCAGTTCTTCGGGCAGATGATCATAACCATATTCGATATAAGGGAAGATGCGGTCAATCGCCCGTGCGAGCTTCTCTAGATCTTCAATATCTGCGCAAGCAAGGCCGAGCTCTCGCAGCGGGTGCCCCAGGGATGGAATATTTTCGATGTCCAGCTCGCTAAAGCCCTCGTCTGTGATATCCACCAGGCCCAGACTATCCAGGTCAGGACAGTGTCGAGCGAAGGATACGAAACAATTAACAGTGGGCCCTATGACTGGTATATCGATTAGGCATGCCCGGGGCCAGGCGGCGGCCAACTTCTCAATGTCAGCGTCGGTGAGAGTTGCTGCATAACGGGAGTGCGATGCCAAAGTGATGCTCCTGAGCTTTCGCAACTCGAGGAGAGGCTCCATGAACTCCATCGCGCTCAGCGACTCGTCCGTCTCCATGGTGACATAGAAGAGAGAGAGTTGTCGGAGAGTAGACTTATGTCGAACGAGGGCGGCGCAGATCTCGTGCAGGTCGTGGAAGGTGGTGGTGGCACCCATGTCGACGGAAATCTCTGCGAGGTGAGGAGACATCAGCCCTGCCAGAATCTGGAAGAGGAGCAGCCTGTCATCGCAGCGGAAATGCAGGGTTTTGAGGCCCGCGAAGCCTCTCCAGTCAGCGCCGACGTCCCGCAGCTTGAGATTATCGAGCGGCAGGACAGCGTGCCTGAGGCGATCATTCTCGGATAGCATCCTGAAGACGGCTCCGTCTAGATGGGACGGATCCTGGTCTACCACGTCCAGATCACGGAGACGGGGAAAGTTGGAAATGAAGTGCATAGGCCCACACACGATGCGCTCGGTGAAGTGCAGCACTTCAAGGAAGGGCGCCTCAAGATGAAGAAAACGCATGAAGCCCGCAATGTTGATTCCTTGAGGCGGCTGCTGTCCCTCTGCGGTAGCAGTCTCACGCACGTGCTCCGAGAGATCTATAGTGCCTATGCGGAAGACACGAAGCGATGGGTTGACGATGAAAGTCAGAATGATATGCAGCCGCTCGCCAGAGGAGTCTTCGGTGCTCTGGGACGTCCAGGGTACGTCCAATATAACCTCTTGCAGTCCAGGGAGCAAAGGACGAAGTGATCTCTTGGGAACGCGAGTGACCAACTCCAGAGACCCGTCAAGCGTATCCCATGTCAGAACACGGATTCTCGAGGCGTATTCAGTGAAGCGGGCGAGTTGCGCTTCTTGGCCAGGCTATGGGAGATGAAAATCAGGACATGACAATGTAAACGCCTCGTTCGTCAACGAACCGATACTTGTTCAACCCAGGTCGTCACATTATCTCCGGCCTTTGGAGCTACCCTACTCAGAGGTTCCAGCCTGTCCATATATTCCCACAGGGTATCCAAGGCAGGTGAACTGAGTTTATGACAAGTCTGAGCTAGACTTGCCAAAGCCTTCAAACCCTCCTTGTCCGCTCGAACATCCCTGCATATGATGTAGAACAGCTCCGTCGGCATATCCAACAGCGGACTTCGTCTGCTGCCCGCGGCCGAGGAAGACATCTAGTCCTTTCTGCGACAATGAAGGGAGGTGATGAGGAGCTGACGTGGCGAGACAGTCGTTGTTCTACAAACGGTTCAGTTAGATATTCGGTCGACGTCTTTCAAGCCTCGGTTGCTATCTTCCAGGTCGGCAGCCGTGTGCCACATGCCCTCCATGTGGGGATGTACCTTAGGTTGGTGCCAGCTCCAGGTCGGCAGCTCCAGGTCTGTCTGTTGAGTTTGATTCCACGTTCTCTGCTGTGAAGCCTGCAAGGCCCAAGGGTGGCATTGGTGGAATCCGATGCTGCCGGACTGGAGAGTAGACGGAAGAGTGGGAAGATGCTGGAAGACGCCTGAGATTGATATCCGAGCCGTATCCGCAACGGTGGTTCAACATTCCCTTCGTCGGCTACTGCGCCGTTCTTTGTTCACAGTTGTTGAGAAAGCAGGGACCCTACGGGTTCACGAAGAGGCTGTCGAATGCAACAATGAAAGAGGACACCTTACGCCTGAAACCGGCCCCACATCAGAGCTCACATGCAGCCGGATCGGGCTCGACTAGTAAGGGCAACTCGATTCAAAACCTAGCAATTTTGGACTACTCAAAGACGATCAAGGCATGGTCCTATGAGCTCGCTTCGTAGTGTACGCCCTCAGTTTTTATTCGGAGGATCGAAGAAGCAAAGCCATTCACGTCGTGCTCGTGACGTTCCCCAACACGATGCCACTGGCATCCGCCTCCTCAGCCCAGGCACTTTTTAGGCCCCAGACGGTGGCACTTACGCCCACGTCTTGTCCCAAGCCCTCGGCCGACACGGTGAGTCCGTCCAACTTGTCTGCAGGATAGAACACCATTGTGGCAGTGCTCTTCCCCCTGTCAATGAAGACCTCCAGCAACGTACGGTCTACCACGGCCTGTAACCGCCACACGCTGCCTTCCACGCAATACGTTGTGTTGAACGTCTCGGTAAAACCATCATTGCTGAAATTGGCGAACTCGTGAATGTTTCCCCGGTTGATCCAGAATTCACCTGAGGAGAGCAGGTACCCTGCGGATAGCGATCCTCCACTGGTTGAAGTGAAGGTAAGGTTCAGGGACCCTGCGGGTGTCACGATATTCGTGATATTGACGTCGAGATATACAGCGCCTGAGGTGACGCTCGAATAGTCAACCGATGTGCTGAGATTATCGGAAGTCGAGACGTTAGCAAGTGTTGAGTTGTAGACAGGTCTCAGGTCGACAAGCTCCTGCACAAGCTGATACCCCGCATCACCGGTATCTCTCAGTGAGTTTGCCTTCGCAAGACTCATCGCGCTCCGCCATCCCTCCTCGTCGGTCGGGACGCTCTCCGCGTACTGCCAGTTATTCGCCCAGATGATGCTGAGCTGCTTCTCGTCAGCGGGCAACCCGTAAAAAAATTGGCCTGCGTAGTTGTCCTTCGCAAAATCAGTGAACCGAATCTCGGAGTCAGAGGGGGTGAAGTGGGTCCCGTTGAACGATCCAGGGAAGTACGTCGTGATCGACCCGCCGAGCGGCGCACCGGGGTTGATGGATATCTGGAGGATGTACGCTGTAGATGAACTGCCATCCACGTTGATTAGCGGCAGGGCGACGAGATTGGGACATTCGTATTGCGAGCCGAGCGCATTCGCGCGCGAGAAGTTGGAGGCGTGTGTCCAGTCCTTAAGGTTAGGAGAAGTATATATCCCGATCACGAGATCTGTAGCATATGCGACGACCATAACCCATTTCCCCGTCTCCGCGTGCCAGAGCACTTTCGGGTCGCGAAACTGGGAAGAGTGCACGTCTAGAACCGGGTTCCCTTCGTACCGCTCAAAGGTGTACCCGCCGTCAAGCGAGTAAGCGATCTCTTGTACTTCCAGGTTCGGGCTGTTCAACGTATAGATCGCCACGACGCCGTTGGTCTGGTTCGGGAAGAACCCAGAGGTGTTGTTGACGTCGATCACCGCAGATCCGGAGTATACCTGAGAGTTGTTATTTGGCGGGTGAATCGCGATTGGCTGGTTTATCCAGTGGAAGAGGTCTTTCGAAGTTGCATGCCCCCACGTCTGGTTTCCTCCGACGAGGTTCGTGGGATTGTCTGAAAGACCATTACGTCGGTGTCGTGTACAACACCCGGGGTGAAGTACGATATTATTATAACTCACACTGGTAGTATAGATGGTAGGTACCCTCCGCGTCAAGGAACATCCCGTTCGGGTCGTTCATAAACTCTTTGGGAGGGGAAAAATGGATCTGGGGGCGCAGTTGGCCACTGTAGTTTCCCGGAATTGGTTCAGCATCAGCAGCAAATACTGATGCTTGCGCGAGTGCGGCCAGGCCGATGGCTAAGGGAAGAGTGAGAGGCCACATTCGTATCTTGCTTGAGTGAGCGGGACGACCCTTAGTATGTACGCCCACAGATTTCTTACCTTTTATATGCTCTCTGGAGATGCATCACCTCTGATTCTGGGCATCATCTACAAAGATCCGCCGTCAAATTGGACATTGAAAACCGATTCGCCTGCGTAACCAGGAGGATTACCCACCATGTATTATGACGTTTGGCTTCTTCCTGACCGTAGAAAAATCACTTGACGCCTCCACAAGACTTCAGAACATTGGTTCCGACTCAGCTGACGCCTGATCATCACACGATGGCGACGAGTTCGAGGGCAGCATTGTCGACTGCTGCGACGTCATGGAAAGCAAACTCTGTCAAAATCTGAACCGGCTGAAGACTTCACTCGCAATTCGGAAACGACCTCGGCGCGTCGGCCTAAGCCGAGAGCGCAAGCCTGAGGCCTCGAGCTCTCTGCATACCCATAGACTGAGAATTACTATATCCCCCCACGCAACGTGAAGGTGAGGGCCAATAAGCATCCCACTGAGATTCCTGGAAGGGCTCCTGTTGATGTCGATTTCATGTCGCATCCAAGTCTGAGTGAAATGAGTTGAAGAGTCGGCCTCGCAATTTTCCACCAACAAATAAAAGCCACAATCGTCGATGGGATGGCTGAGGCGCCAGCATCTAGCCCGAGTACAACACGAACAGAACAGGGTGCAGTCGAGTTAGCTGATCTGTTGGCATTCCTATATAGGGGTCGTATCTAGCTATAGCTCAAGTACGAATCCAGCTCTCCGCCCGAACTTATGTGGGTCCCCAACATTAGCGTCTACCCTAAGCAAGGCGGTTGAGACTATATCTTTGGCCTCACACGGGGCAAATTCTAGGAGTTACACGCGGTAACGATGCTCTTCTGTCCAACTTGCGCTAACCTCCTAATCGTCTCTGACGAAGATGGCTCTAATACGTGGGTCTGCCAGACGTGTCCCTACCAATTCCCCATTACCAAGCAGGTATGCACTTGCATGACGCCCTTCTGGTGTAGAAATCCGGCTTGTCATCAACAATAACTGACACATCTACTCCCGCCGTAGATCACATCCAGAACTAAACTTGAAAGGAAGAAGATGGATGATACTAGAGATGCGACAGAGGAGATGATCGGACAATCCAAGATCGCCGGTGGGTTATAGTTCGACGGTATCCACCCGCTGGATCATGACAATCAATTTGCATCAGCGTTCTGCGAGAAGTGCGGGAACAACGAGGCATATTTCTCTCAGATTCAAATCCGGTCCGCAGACGAACCGATGACTACGTGTAGGTTGCCTCTTGTTATTCCAGCGGTTACTGATATGTCCGTCTTCGCGCTTATTGAATGGCAGTTTACAAGTGCGTGTCAATAATAGATGTGTAAGTCGTGCCAACACTGAGATGATTGCTAGATGCACAGCTTGCGGTGCTGTTCGCCGAGAGGACTGAGTGTGGTCATATTTTCGAAATGCTGCAATCGCATACCTTTCTATCCCCTACATGTCTCCAAACCAATAAGGAAGAATCCCCAGGATAGTACTGAGGATTGTCAGGCTGTGGATCAGTCATCTGGGGCATGGTGAAGTCTATTATGGACGTCCATTCGGTACGATATACAACGGAGAGGCATATGTATAGAGGGCGGGGTATAGCTGAGTCCAATTTAAGAAGCATACGAGGGGAGGAGTATGGTAAACGAGAGGCATAAAAACATGAAGCATGGGCATATGAGGTAAGCATATAACATGAGTTCGTCATCCAAGGGCTTGTCGCAGGGCAGCAGTGAGAGCGCCGGGTTCAAATAGTACGATTACCCTGCAGGTTTAACACTTCCTGCTGGTGTATCCAGGCTCTCACTCTTTGCTGAGCGGCGGATGCCGTCGGCTGCGACCTGTTCGGAAGATCTGTTACGACGAAATTATCTCCCGTAGGTGCAGCTTGAGGAGGGAAAAAGCGACCTGCAGGCGAGACAAAAGTAGCGTCTTGGTGGTACGGTTGGCTGGTTTGAGCAGTGCGGATGGCGTATGGGCGCCAGAATACATGGACTACGGGGATGGTAGTCCTTGGAATTAGTGCACGTGGGGAGACTACAGGAGCGGTTGTAGGGATACCAGGTGCCCGCGCATTCCAGTTCGACGAAGTAGTATGATACAAGCCTAGCGGAGATGCGTAACCAGTAGGTGCAGCAGGAAGTTGTGAACGTGTAGCCGAACGAATGGTAGCAGCGGGGACAACCGTCGCCGTGGGCGGGTAGGGCCGTAGTGGCCTATATGACTGCGAGATCCGACTGCAGAAGGCGGGGCGAACGGGACCAGAGGCTGGTTCCCTAGCGTGGACCGACGGTCCCAGGACCGCAGGCTGACCATGTTGAACCTCACGCCGATCCTGCGCCTCGTCGTGTTGCGCCTCATTGGCAGTATAGCCACTCTGTTCGACTGGGTTCTGGTTTCGTGCATGGCACAGGTGCGCTTCGTACTCCTTGTAGAGTCCCGTTTTCATACCACAGTCGTCGCATGACCATCTGGAGCTGTTCGAGACATACAAGAGGCAGACATGAGACTCACTGATGGAGCGAGCTTAGGAAGGACAGACTCACGCATTGCATCGGTGGTCTAACATCTTCTGGGCATCGAAGGACCAGAAGCTGCACTTGAAACACGTGAAAAAGCTGAACGGAGTGGCATATCAGAGTCTGCCTGAGCGCCGTACGTATGGCAATGACTTACTTCTTTTTTCGCGAGTGTCGCGTCCTGTGCTGCGCCCGTATAACTTGGTTCCGCATATTCCAATGACAGACTTCGCACTCTTCATTCATGTGTGCCATCTTGATGTCGGATTTGCTTGATGAGGAGCTGAAGTGTGGATGCCATTGTCGTAACGGAACCCGTACTTAACCAAATTGATAGTCAAAGCGCGAGAGCCTCCTGATGCAGAGTATACGAACGCCACTTACTCGGATTAGCAGGTTACATGGAAGCGTAGTGGCTCTTGGACGGTAAGAGTGGCTCTTGGTCAAAGCGCAAGCAACAATTGATTCGGTGGACGCTTCAAGGACAACGACAGCAGTCCGCGCATCTGAGCTGTAGCTAAGTGAAGTAGCTACAAATAAGAGTCCATTCGCAGTAGTCCGATCTGTATGTGTCTAATCGTATCAGTTACTGGCTCAAGTCTCGAAACATGATGGCACACCCACACCCTGAAGTCGTCCAAGCAATCATTACTTCGTTACCATCCGTAAGCACGCGCAAGCTGGATAGCGTGTCTCATGCGGTCTCGTGCCAGATCCACCTGCCATGGCAGATATGCGTGGTAGCTCATTGGCCAGCACTTTAGGTGGAGCCACGCCTCTAGCGTCGCTCGCGTCCAAAGCGTTCCATTCTCCCGCCGTCCCAAGCGGAGAATGGCCGCGATGTCATTCGGGTCGTCCTTCTGGTATCGCACAAGCTTCAAAGCAACGGCCCATGGCCACGAGACTGCGATCAGAGTCAGTCCTGGAGAAGAGAATATGATATTGCGTGAGAGGTTTGACGCAGACATCGCCGAGGTGTAGAGCGGATCGTAGACTTCGCCTGAGCGACTGGGTTGACCAGAACTATATCTTTAGCGTGATGACTCACGTGCTATAGACGACTCGACTTACGTCTGAGCCATAGGGAGCGCGATATCCGGGTCTGCATTCATCCAGCGCGTACCCAAGCCATATTTCCTCCCGGTCGAATCTATACATTCCTCAAGCTTTGTACCGGCGTCATATATGCCGCGAGAAACCATCTTAGTTTCGAAAGCCCTGTAGATGTAGTCTACATCTCGAGTGAACGCTCGACACTTCAGCTTCGGGTGCAAGACCATTACAATGCCTCCATGGACGACGAGCTTGATCGGGCACCCAAACACCCGTAGAATTCGCTCAGAGAGATCATTAAGGACGACCCAAAGGATATCTGCGGTCAGAACGAGCTCGGGCTGGGACATTGGTCCGGGGACATCAGGCGTCGAGAAATGTGTCGGAGGGGCCACGTATAAAACTGCGGGCGGGGACCTGTAGCAATGTCAGTACACAAAAAGGTGATCTCGGAGCGTCAAACTAGACATAGGCAATGTTTGATGGACAGGGTGCACGGCAGCATAGACAATTACGGCACGCTTGCCGGACAACGCAGCGTTGACACAGCAACAACTCAAATATCCACAGCGCTGGGTGCACGGCAGCTCAATGTGCCTTACACCTCACATTGTGCACATCTGCGTTGTTGCTGTGTAACAGTGCGAAGTTTTCTTTGTATGTCGCCAGAACCTCGCAAACCGTTAAGTTGACTTGGACCTTCGCAGGTGGTATGAGAAGAGCATCATCGCTATCCAAAGTCGAATGCCACCGCATGGATCATTGGATGTTGATTGGATCAGAGGCAGAGCCACGGGCAATTGCAGCTGCAAGGGAGACTATGCCCCTGCTCTGCAGGGGTTTCTGGGACCTCCAAATGCATTTTCCCATCCTACCGGCATCGGCCGAACGCAGCCACCACTATGATACACTGCAGCGCTTTAGGCCAAGACAAATGTAAGAGCAGCAGCGTAACATCGACCTCGATGACCAGCTAGACCTGGTTGCAAGCAGCCAGAGCAGGGGCAGAGATGCCGACGTGAAGTCCGCACTTCCCAGTAGCTATTACTTATCGCAATTTAGGATGCTTCGACGGGTACGCTTCGCTCCGACTTTACTCGACATCGCGAGTTGTGGCTACGTAGCAGCTTAATTAACAGCGTCTCTCTTCTGCCAGTGGGATAATATTGGCGTGAGCTGAAAGGCATGCTGCACTTTGCACCGCCGCCATTGCCAGCGACGACGATGGCGCGCGCTCTTCCGAAAAGAACGGACTCGCTGCTGGCCAGCAAGAGCTCCCTGTTCAATGCCATCGATGACGACTTGCGGGATGCCCGCAGAGTCCACTCGCACGGGCAGGAGGAGGACTTGAAGTACGCCCTGCAGAAGACCATGAGCCGTATCGAGGAGCTGGTATGTACGTCTACGATGTTCTATCTCTACGTTTCTGATACCCTTCACTGGTCATCCGAAACCTGCGGAATCTTCCCAGACTTCGCTGCTAAAAGAAGCCTACCAGACACAAACGGATCTCCAGACAGAGCTTACGCTAGCCAAGTCTAACCTCCAGCTGGCGCTCTCGAACAATGAGATGCTTGAGGACGCGCTGAAGCGGAACCCAGGCCGCGGGCAGGACGTCGGGTGGAAGCGGTGGAGCGCGCGCGAGGAGGAGAACCGGCGGCGGATCTCAGAGGAGTCGCGCACGAGCGGCGACGAGATGCACCTGGACAGCCCGCACCCACAGGCAGAGAGCAGCCCGACCTCGCCCGTGATGCCGCCGCCGAGCGCGAACGGCACGTCCGACAGCCGATTCTTCAAGTTCCGCTTTGGCAGCGGGTCAGGTAACGCGACGCAGCAGCGGGCGCTGTCGCCTGGAACGAAGACGCTCACGCGCTCGCAGTCGAGCGTGATGCCATCCTCCCCCCTCTCCCCTGCCCCCAATCCATCACCTCAGCCCTCCCATCTCGCTTCCGCGTCATTACCCTCGCTCATCCCGGCACCCTCCGCAAAGGAGTTTGCAGAGATGAAGCACAAGCTGGAGATTGTATCTAAGCAGCTCGATGAGGTCAAGAAGGAGCTCGATCAGGAGCGGACGAAGCGTAATAGCGTTTCGGAAGAGAAGGAGCGGTTGGAGGGCGAGTTGGAGTCGCTCAGTCAAGCCTTATTCGAAGAAGTAGGTCCACATTCATTGGTATCAACTACTCCTAACCCGTCCTTCCTCCAGGCAAACAAGATGGTAGCGTCCGAGCGCATCAAACGCGCCGAGACCGAAGAAGAGCTCAAGCAGACCCTCGCGGAGAAGACCGCGCTCAAGGAAGCTCTGCGCTTGCTCGAACGAGAAAATGGCGAGCTCCGGAGCGCCTCGCGGCCGCAGACACCCGCGAGCGATGCGGGGGGCCACAGGCGGTCTGCATCGGCGGTGGCCGTCAAGTCGCGGCGGTCTAGCGCGTCTTCGGCAAGGAAGTCAGTCGATTCAGCGGTGTTCCTCGGAAATGGAGGGGAACGCCCGCAGGAAGAGAAGCCGTCTATGCCGGAGCATGCACCCTCGTCATCGAGCAATTCTGAATACGAAGACGCGAGCTCCGATGTATCCCCGCCAGAAACTTCGGAGTCCAGTGCACCCTCGTACGCCTCGTATCCCTCGTTCTCGATGTACCCGGACCTACCAGGCTCGGGCGCGGACAGTCCCTGGGCGGACGTGCGCAGTGCGTCTCCCGTGTCTGTGCATTCATTGGGGGAGAAGCGCACAGTTGGTATCAGTGGGTTGGGGCTGGGTATTGAGGATCATTGATTGCGGATGGTTACTTGAATCGGATTGTCTGTCATCTTGCTCTCACAAGTTCGGCGTCTACCTTGCATAAGCATTGCATCGCATATCACATAGTATTCTCGCTGTATCATAGGCATGGTCCCAGAGACGTACTAAACTATCACGCAGGCTTGGACAAGCACCAAGCCCTTGCAGACATGCAATCCGGCGTTGAATTTAAATCCGTCCGTCCTCGTGATTGTTGGCCTTCGGCCCACCCTTTGTTCTTGCGCTTGGCCCTGGGCAGATAGTTGACCGTGAGCGGTACCCGTGCTCTACAAATTGCTTCTCATCTCGCCAGGTCTGGAGGTGGCAGCATCGTGCAACCTTCCGGACCACACATATGGCTACGCAGGACCGCCACGGGGGTATTAGCTGTATAGAAATTATTCACCGCTCATTGGCTGCCTGGTCGAGGAAGACCAAGTTGATAGAACGCCACTGATGCATCCAGCTCGTCCGAGCGAGATCGATTCTGCACGATCGTCGTTCCTCCCGTCTCGATGCGTTCTACAGCTGCCGCACGGCCAATGGCGGCTCCGCCGTTTGGTGAGGACGGAGGAGAAGCGCCGCTGGCACGTCCGAGCGTATAGAGTTCGCTTTGAGTTTCTCTGGCAAGAAGGAGCATGTGATACACGTCATAGTGTACACTACTGCGCGACACTGGTGAGTTGCTGCTCATCCCGCTGCTGGCCAAGTTTATGGGAGGATTATACCAGCATGGTTCAGGTCTCGTTGCGTAGCTCCTTGTGTCAGCCCGAAAATAATCTTGGGGTGTTTGCATATCGCGTACTCAGAGATGGCAGAGAGATTGGACCACAGGCTATGCTGTCACAAGGAATAATCGGATTCCTGGAGAACGTCTCGCCAGCGGAGGGTTTATGGGGATGAATGAATATATGCGTGCCTCTTATAGTACGGACGCCGTCTGCCGTCGCTCACAATATAATGCAACGCCGTCAATGCAAGAACGAGGCGCTGCCTATTCCACCCAATATGTCCGTGTCAGGTAGTTGAGATAGTTGAAGGATGCCGCCGCGGAGCCCTTAGAACCGACGAGGTTACATCTGACGTGAAATGATTGACTTCGCTATCCTGTCCCTCGGCCAGCCACTGGCGTGCGGCATATTTAGCACGCACCACAATAGTAGATGAAGATCCTTCGAAGCGCTTGCGATCATATGGAGGGGTGGACACCTCACCTTCGTGTAGAAGCACATCAGCCCGAGCCACGTACCGGGACGGATGGGAGGCTGTGCCTGCCCAGCACCATTACATTAGTTCCTGCGTATATATTATATTATCTTGCAGACTTGTTCAACGATCGGCCCAAAGTCAGGGAAAGCTATCAACAATCGCGCCAGAACCTGTTTGTCAAGGAACACATCCCGCTTCTGCCGTCCGCGCATTAATTACCAGGGGAAGGCGAGCGATCTGGTGATCGTTTCGTGTTCCTGCGTAAACCTTCCGTTAAGTCCATAGCAGACTTGATTGAGTCGCGAGATTGGCTAGCGATACGTGCATGGCCAGGTGCGATAACGGCCATTCAGCGGCGTTACATTATCTTCAAGCCATTTGAGCACCATCAAGTTGATTTGGAAGTCGATCGGTCGTTCCGGGCGAAGAAGGGAATACGGCCTCAGGAATAGGACAGAAAAAAGAAGAGACGGCTCCGGCGGTACAGTATACCAGACACCTGGACGGACTTGTGCAGTAGTCTTCTTGCCCTTGCAATATTGCGCAGTGGTTTATTTTGGGCGGTCGGTGGTAGTAGTTCCGAAGTTGGACGAAGGTCCTCCAGAACCAGCTAGTCAGAGACGGATGGCGGTATGTGGCGCCCACAGGAGCCTACATCCCGTCGCTCACCTACCTCGAATGATTTACTCTGTCGCGTGACTTTGTAGAAGGCAGCAGACTTGAACCGTCCAGAAAGATGCTAATGTTCTTATCGATGGTGTCTGACGAGGTAAATTATTATGGAAAATAATTGAAGGCACGTTCTGAAATGTCTGAGGTTATTCGAGAACTTGCAATGGATAACTTACATACTACAGACGGAAGTCAGATAACTCCGGGCTGGCATGCAACCATCCTACGTTTTAGGTCCGTCCGACGTTCGCAGAAGGCAGAAGGTAAGTGAGAAACATATGATTATACGCCCAGCCTGTCTCAAAGTCACAGCATAAGAGAACGAGCCTACGGAGTCATCCATCCTAGCTCATGAGCGTCAGTGTGGCAGCGATTTCGAAGACATCAATCAATACCTTCGGCAAAGCCCGTCACATACATTGTACCCTGTACTATTGTGACATCCGGACATCTCATCATTGACAGTCAATCCGCGTTCTTGCACCAGTGCGATTTCTTAGTTGATCTACTGCGCTCCATACGGAAAGCACTTGGATATTCTTGCCTTGTAGGGAGTTCTGACATAAGGGACTCAGGTGCAAAGGTGCAGAAATATCACAGTGAGTGGCGGCGTTCCGCTTCAACTTGAAGCGTCGAGACCGACCATTCCGTCTTACGGCGAACAGAATAACTCTATGACTCTTTCAAGCTATACGTTCTTCAAGTTTCAAGTTGGAGTACCCCACAAGCTCATACGCGCTCGGTAGCTCGTACGATTTACTGAGACGCCTGGACGTCATCGCTCTGGAACATCCAGCGGTTCCCGACCTAAAAATACTCAAGCGCTGGATCACTTCGTCCTCTGACAAAAGGAATGTCACTGCGTACGAGAACCAAGATTCTGAGCCAAGTGTCTCTCGTAACTGATAGCCCTTGAACGCTCCCCTTGACCCTATAGAACGCTGCCTCCACCGCGCGCGCGGGGTTCCGATCAGTAGGTTAAGGAAACGCTAATCCCAGAAGCACCGACGCTTCATCCTCAGAACACACGCTGCTTCGAAGGGGGCCGTACGATACTAAACCTGGACTATCCAAAGATGGCCTACGTCTTCTGAATCTTTGGTAGCACTATAATTCAGGTATGCTCGCGCAATTCCCAGGATATTTATAGTGAATTTGTCTGCGTGCAGATGCATACGTAGGATGTCGTTCCGGGTGCGTTCCGTCAACAAAACTCTTCACTTACTCTATATTTTGAGTGCTCTTCGTGGCCACCAATATACACCAGGTATTATTAGGCCTCCCGACTCTCCCCGACATCGACGCTCACTCACAACCGAATACTACCGCGTCGAAAACTCCAGATACTCCTCCTTTCCCAGCACCGCTCCCGAACCTCAACACACTTCTATTCTATCTGATCTCCCAAGTCCTCAGCGGGACAGCGCGCGACCTGATCCGCCCCACCCAACACGCCAGATCTCGCCGTCCAACATTCTCTGAGTAACGCTATCTCTCTCGGATCACCCTCTCGCGCCCGATCTGCGTCCAGGACGTGTCCTCGGGTTAGGAGCGCGCAGACTGCACCCGCGACGCGGGCGGCGGCTGCGGTACCGCCAAACGCGCGGGCGATCGCGCATCATGGCCGGCGTGCTGCTCGAAATAGGCGTGTTCTGGGATGCGATGGTTCGAACGAGGGCCTCAGCGGGAGAGGGCGATTCGACGGTTTTTGTGCGGCGTCCGAGGCGCCCCGCCCGTGTTTCCCGCCCCGACCACCAACTCCTGGTCGCAACCAGCCCTGCGCGCACCCGGGGTCTGTACCGTCCTCTCCTGACGCGCCCTCGGCCCCTATACCCCGGTCTTCTTCTGTATTCTCCAGCGTGAACCCCACTGGTAACTGCAGCCGCCCCCACTCGGCGTCGGGATCTCTTGCCCCGCTTTTAAATTTACGACAGCGTCGATAGAGTTGACTTAAGGTGGCTTTAGAGGATTTATGCCTCGTAGGCCGGCCGGACCTGCCTGGGTTTTAATATGTCCTGTCGTCCGGTGTGCTACGTAGGTACTTATCAGATACGTAGCACGAGAGGCAAGGAAAATTAGGACGATTGGCTCAAAGGAACGGCGTAGTCCATAGAAATTTCCAGACCTGCCTACGTGATACAGCAGTGGGTAAGTCAGACAACTCCGGGAAGGGGGATGTAAGGTAAAGGTGATCGCTGAGGAGGGGTGGTGCGTGGAATAAGGCGGGACATATATAACTCCTGTCTATGATACAGTACGATCCGTAGGGTAGTGGCGGAAGAAATGGGTCCATGATTGGGCTAAATGTGAAGGTAGGGGTATGAGTAGTCCTTGGGTCCGAGAACTAGAACCGGCCGCGGGAGAAAGGGAGGAGAGGAGACGTCAAGGAGCGTGCGGGGCGTAGTCGTTAGGGAGCGTGGATATCGAGTCCGCGTTAGTCGGATAGATGGCAGATGACACTGCTTACAGTGTGAGTAGATTCGGATGCGGTACTGCATTGAGCCGCAGGGCGGGAACAAGGCGGCAGGTTCAAGCAAGTCGGATTATCGCGATCAGTCGCCCCAGCTGCGCGCCAGGGCACTGGTCGTCTTGATCTTGAAGTCGCGCCGGATGGAGCGGGTGGGCTTGGGCTGCTCGCGTTCTTGTTCATGTCCAGCTTCCTGCTCAGGCTCCGGCGTCGGAGCCTGGAAACACACTCAGCCACCCATACACCCCGGAAACGAACGGACCCAAGCGTACCTGCACGCCATCCCCCTCCTCCCTCCCCTCGCCCTCGTCCTCATCCACCTGCCCGCCGCCCCCACCCCGCTCCTCGCCAAACCGCCCCAACCGACTCCTGCTCCCGGGTCGTCCGCGACTCACCGGCCCCGCGAGCCGCACATTCACACTCACACTCGGCGCGGGCGCTGCTTCCTCCTCCCCCGCGGACATGCTCGTCTGCACGGACGGCTGCGGCGAGGGGTACCGGGTGGAGCGCGAGGTGGACGACTGCGCGGTGGGCAGCGCGCGGTTGTGCACGTTGAAGGGCGCTTGCGCGTGCACGTTGACCATTTTCCTGCGGGTTTTGGGTGGGGTGAGTGGGATGGAAGGGGGAGGGGAGGGAGGGGCGGTGAGCGTACCCCTCTTTGGAGCGCACGATCGTCCCGAGCCGCTCTTTCATCTTCTGCGGGTCGACGACGGCGACGTGGGGGCGCGGGGGTGTGCTGCAGTCCCGTGAACACTCTACTTCGGAGTAAGTATGCAGAGCAGGGGGACGTACACATCGGCATCCTGAGCAGCCGGTATGAGGTGCGTCCTCTCGTCCGGCTCGCGGTCCTATTCCGTCAGCCAGTCAACCTTCTCCCGCCCACACACCGCAGCGAGCGCTGAAAGCACGTACGGGACTCTTTGCGCGCAAGCAGCAGGCAAAGACGGCGCTGAAGAACGAGGACATCAAAATAGCTCGCCGGGCGGGCAGTTCATAAAGCAAGGCTGCAGGCTTTTGCGTGCAGTGCAAAGACGGACGGACGGACGGACGGGCGGGCGGATGGAGATCCCGAGCCGCGGCCGGGGGCAGTCCGGCGTTGCAGACAAGTCGCCGGGCGTACCGGCGGTACCGCCATATCGGGGTCTGTCCTTGTCAGTGACGATACAAATACTCAAAATGATTTCGATCTCAGGTGGCATTGCGAGGAAGGATGGGAACGATATGTGTGCACGGAGGGGTTCTGCAGACATCATCTGATTTTGATGTTTAGAGTCTACTGACCGGGTGGTGCGCTTTTCTTCCCAAGGGCGTCATGAGAACGGCAGAGTCACTAGGCTGCATATGTCTAATACAATACAATACGGGTCCCTTCCTTGTTCTCCCTTCCTGCGAGCAACCAGCTGGGTATTGTTAATAAACCAGTGACAGAAGGGAGCGGGAGAAGGGGCGACGAGGGAGTGGGGCACATGCGCGGCAGATCATCGTCATCAGGATGTAGCAGCGCAAGGAGGATGAGATATGAACAGGCCCTTGCTTGCCATGGACGCGGTCCAGCACCGCATGCGCACGCCAAGGACGCCCGCGCGCGGCCTGATTGAAGCTAATCACGAACGCGGAATGGGCCCGGGCGTGCTGTGCTGGGGCCTTTCCCACTGCAGGGGAAGCGAATGAGCTCGAGTGAATTGCGGTGGCTTCGGGTTCGGGTTCGGATGCGTACAGTATTAGCGTTGACGTGTATGCTGCGAGGAAGAGGAAGGGGAGGGGCGAGATGAGCGTGGGCGGTTGGCAGGCGCGTGAGAGCGTGGAGGATGGTTGCCTCGGGACGCGAGTTGTACGGGATAAATGCGAGCATAGAAAGGCCAGGAACGCGTGTACGCCACCTCGCGACCGCAGTGGATCCTGGCGCGACGAGAGCAACAGATTGCAATCAAACCGGCCTGTAGGCGAGTGGGTGGATAGACAAGGCTAGCACGGCCGGCGCCAAGCTCCCAGGCGGTTGGTGATGTGCATTTGGGCTGGCAGAAAAGGCATGAGCGGGCTTAGACTCTCCCGCGCGCAGGGGAGGTGAGAGCGATCACAGATCGCTCACACATACGCCGGCGCCCATCAAATGCAGGCCGGATGAGGCAAGGGGCCGGGCGATGGGCGATAGTGAGGCGAACCCCAAGCGATTATTCCCGGGTACGAGGAGGAGGGTGCGCCACGGCTGGATCGGGTATACACCAGGCACAGTAAGTATGCGAGGAGTGGCCTGCCTGGGAGAGAGAATGGATGGGCAGCGTCTGGGACGCTTCTTCGGGAGAAGGCGATATAAGGGATGGAGCGCAGCGTCGCCCGAGGGTGACGAAAGCGGGAAGCTATCGCCACACTATGTAGCACGCTGTGAGATCCGCGGCTGGAGCGTGCGGTCACTCGACCTGCATGCGCGGAAGACAGAGAAGGGGATCTAGAGTTGCGAGAACCGGCTATCTACACAGGCTTGGGGAAAGGGCGACAGGAATATGAAGGTTATGTTTGTAGTTATGTTATCGCGTTGTATATGTCGAAAGTGAGAGTATCGGTCAAACAAGGTTTATCTGATGGGGAAAAGTATCCAAGGGCTGCCGGATTGGGGCGTAAATTAAAAGCAGGCGGACGGGATCCGGCGGCGCACGTGTCGGAGGGGACATAACTACCAGGAACGCGTTCTGCCGGCTCCGAAGACGCTGCAGCTGGCCGGGGACCCAGTACTTGGACTGGCGCAGTTAGGTAAGGCTGCTGGTCACGTTCTCGTCGACGCTCTTTCTTTCTGCGCACTCATTCCAATTTCTCCGGAAGGAAGTCGCCCGTCCCAGGGCCGCGGCCGGGGAGTGCGCTCTATTTTCTGCATTTATAGAGTCTGCGTCCACAACCTCCTCTCGAGTGACTCTGCTCTGCGGCCCGGCCCATCACAGTGTGTGCGAGTGCATGCAGCCGCCCTCATAAACGTCGTCAAATTCGCCGCGTGGCCGTCGCGTCTGCCCTCTCCCCGCCGCGTGCCCGCCCGTGGTCTCCGCGCGCCGCCTGCCATGGTCGCCAGCGCCAACGCAGACCTCTACACGCCGTTCCCCCACCCCGGCCCCCACTTTGACGACTCGGGGCCCCAGTCCAGCGAGGACGGCTCCGGCCTCCACTCCCCCATCTACGACTCCGCCTTCCACCCAGACAGTGAGTTCTTTCTCCCTGCCCGCCCGCGTCCCCCTCCTCATCGCCCCGCCCCGCCCCCGCCCGCGCCGATCTAGTCCGATATCACGGCCCCGCCGTCGCCGAGACCCTCCCCACCATCCCCCAGCCGTACGACAGCCACTACGCCCTCCCCACCGCCCGCATCGCCGCCGACGCCGCCCACCCCTTCCTCCGCGCCCTCGACGTCCCCGCCAGCCCGCACGCCGGCCACGCCCACCGCCCCCAGCCGCCGTCCCCCGACCGCTCCCTCCTCATGTTCAACAGCCCCGGCTCCCTCCCGCGCCTCCCGCCCCCCAACCCCGGCGTCATGGACTACTCCTACAGCTTCCACGACCGGCGCCTCCCCGAGCCGCACAGCAGCTCGTACCACAAGCCCATCCACCCGCTCGCCAGCCCCGACGCCGCGCGCCCGCTCCCTGCCCCGTCGTACAGAAACGACGAGCCGTCGCCCAGCACCTCCGCGTCGCGCGAGACCCGCAAACCGAGCTCCATGACCGTCATCGCCTGCCGGCAGTGGTACGTCCTTTGTCGTCTATGTATAGCAGTCCCCTTAATCGCGCTTCCCTTTGTCGTGTGGCGCACCAGCCGCGCGCGCAAGATCCGGTGCGACTCGACGCGCCCGATGTGCAACAACTGCCTCAAGCGCGGGAACGAGTGCGAGTACGACGCGGTGCCCAAGCGGCGCGGGCCGGACAAGCACCCCGGCACGCGCCAGCGCTCGTGCAAGAAGCGCGCCGCGGACGACGGCGCGCCCGGCGCGAATAAGAAGAAGAGGAGGACGGTCAGCGAGCAGTCTGCGACGCCCGAGGTGAAGGAGAACGTTTCGGGCGGGCGGCGCTCGCCCAACCAGAAGCCGATGCTCGACGCCCCGCTCCTGCAGGCCCCCGCGCCCCCGACGGCCACGTCCATCCTCGAGCTGCCCCTCCCGGGTATGAACCCCGACCACGCAAAGGTCAGCCGCCGCCGCTCTTATCTGATAGCTCCCACGTATTCACGCAAACTCTGATTCCTGCGGGGACTTTGACGTGCCCCCGCGTGATTTTGATTTGGTTTGATCTGACATGATTGTTTGATGGTGCAGTCGACGACGCCTTACGGCTCCGTCCCGACGCCATACCGGCGGGGCTCCGCGTACGACGTCCTCGAGGACCAGAAGGGCCTCGTGAACGTCCACCGCTCGCCGCAGGGCGATGTCAAGCTCTCCCCGCCCTCGGGCGAGTACCAGCACCCGCGCAAGACATGGTGGGACGAGCTCGTCGCGACGTACACGCCCTCGCAGGAGCAATCGTGGGTATTCCCTCGTTAAAGTCATGTGATAGCCAGCCTAACCTGAACCCCACGTGGACATTGCAGGGTCAAAGCCATCAACGAAGATCTCGCGTTCCTGTGCGTACCCTGTCCACTAGCCCAAATCCTCCCCGTACAATCATTTCGCCGCTCGCGTAATATCTGACACGCCCGCCCCGTGCGTCCCGCAGATTCAACACGACGAACCTCCTGCTCGCGTTCATCAACGTGCCGAACTTCCTGCGCGCGCTGAACGACCCTACCGAGCGCGAGCGCACGCAGCCCGCGCTCGTGTACGCCGCGCTCGCGGTCGCGACGCTGCTCAAGAGCAGCGAGGTCGAGCTCGGCGCGAGCGGGCGCCAGCGCGCGCTGTGGTTCCGCCAGGCGGCGCAGGCGGCCCTCGAGAGCTCGTGGACGAGCCAGTGGGTCGATTCGGGCTTGGCTGCGGCGGCGCTGGTGAGTGGTGTTTCTCGCGACGTTTGATGGCGGGGTGCTCATTGATTGTTGATGGTATGTTTTGCTCGACCCTGCGTTTCGGGTTGATCGCACTGTGATCGCGATTTCGATTTCGGTGGCGAATTTGATTGCGCGTCGTGTATCGCGGTGATGTCGATCGCGATCGATGCGATTGGATTCAATTGCAAACACGGCGCGCGTAGCTCCTCGCCATCTTCGAGACCTCCGCGCACCCGCACTACTCGCCCGAGGGCGTGTCCGCCTCGCTCTCCTTCCTCGACTCCATCATCCGCACGCTCAACCTCACCGCGATCGACGCGCACGACCCCGATGTCTCCACGTTCGCTCGTGGGCGCGTGCCGGTCGTCTACCGCTCCACGCGCTACCCCGCGGCGAAGGAGTGCTCGTGCCGCCCGCTGCTCGAGGAGGAGCAGCTCGCGTATACGTGGTCGTCGACACCCGCGTGGGACCCCGCGTGGACGGATAGCGAGATTAGGCGGGAGGAGTGCAGGCGGCTGTGTTGGAGCGCGCTGGGCTTGGTGTCGGATTATGTGGCGCAGTGCGCGCTCACGCAGGAGAAGCCGCCGAATTTGTTCCTCGCGGATCCGTCGAATGTGGGTTCTTCTTCCTCTTGTCCCTATGAGTCTCTAACGTGCGGGCGGAATAGTATAAGCTGCTCTTCCCGGGCGAGATGCTAAGTCGCAGTCTGGCGCATCATAATGGCCAGTCGCCGAAAGAGTCGGTTTGGGCGCTGCATAGCCGCAGCATGCTCCTGTGGAATAGCTGCCAGATCCTCCGCGATAGCTCAATCAGGAACGAGGAGAGGGCGGAATTCGCCATCCAAGCATGGGGCGAGGCGGAGGCGATCTCGCAGGCCATCGATCGACATACATGCAATGTCGACACGGCGCTCATATACGCCTGCAGAGAGTTTGTGTACAAGTGCGTTGTTTCTCCTCTTGTGTTTTCCAGCCGTTGGCTAATTGCGAATGGTTGTGCCTGCAGTACCCGGTTGACGGTCACTCATAATTTACGCCGGTTGGTCCCATATTCTGAGATGTACGTTCCAACGACACCTCACCTGTCCTATGTTATTTTAGCTTACAAGGACTGAATAGCGATTCAAATTCGATGTTTAACAGGAAACATGCGGAGGAGTGGTGTAAGTGATTGTGTAGATGACAGTTCTTTCCTTCGTCTCAATTTGCTGCAGTGCACTATCAGGAGCAGTTGGCGAAGCGCGTCAAGGCGTCCATCCACCACCTCAGCGAGGCGGAAGGGCAGCTGCTGACGAGAAGGCCCTTCTGCGTCACTTGGTTTGCCAGCCAGATCTCTACGTGAGTAGGCCATGGCATTCATCGCTCCGTTTGTCTCATTGATCTGCGTTGTCCGCATTAGGTGCCTCTCCCTTTGGCGTCGAGATCGAGGCCTAGTGCATGCTCTGGAGTTAGCCAAGTCCTTCCTTGTTCCCCTTGACGTCTTGAACGCTCTATGGCCATGCCCTAGTAAGTGGTTTCTGACCAGAAACATGGCGCATCGCTGACGTCGTCTTCAGACCAAAAGAGCAGATGCGATGATCTTCGTGACAGTCTAGATGAAGCTTGCGCGTCGGCGGGTATCCCGCCCCCATTACCGGCCCATTATTCCCTGCCGCCGATGCTACGCCAATAGGCTGGACAGCTCACCTCTTCATTGCTACTCCGTGGGACATGATATTCCCTCGATACCACTGCTTTGCTTATTTGTCCCATGCTGTAGCCTACTGCTGTATCATTGATTTTCGCCTTCTTCGCTGACTCGCAGTTTGTATGTTTATTTAATCCGTTCACCTTATTTCGTACCTTAACACTGTTCACTTCTGTATGACATCATGACGGGTTCAATATCATAACCTTCGAATTCTCATTTGACAATGACATGGCATGGATGACGTCCCGCTCAATGGGGACTTTCAGGGCTGTTTCTTTCAATGACCGGCTCGATAATGATACCACTGCAGTAAAAAGAAAAGAAAAAGAAAAAGAAAAAAGAACAAGGGGTGGCCGCTCCAAATATGGTTGCATGTGGCTGAAAGCATGCTTCTTCCCTAGCGAGCGGGTTATACATTGTACAACCTCTCGCTGCTCCCGTACGTTGCACGAGATGTATCCTAGGGTGCTGATCCTTCAATTTTTGAGGTGTAGTTCATTTTTTCTTCCCGGTCTTCGACCGGGTATCTAAGTAAATGTGTCCGGCGGGTTCACGATACTAGCACCCGCAGGTCTCAAGTAGCTACAAGTAAACAATACCTATTGGCATTCTGATGACAGTAGTACTACTCTCCGGGGATTTTGTAGTCGTTCACGCTCAAGTTGAAACGCTGAAGTCGTATATGGTGCGCCTGCGCGAGACGCAGAGTGAGCGGTTCCCACGATTAGAACCCCGCACAATATCGAGGGTGGCTGCGACCGGAACTCTGGGTGCACAATGCCCCATGAGATGGCGCCTGCTTTGTGGTTAGTATATCCTATAGGTACAACATGCTAGAGTACTCAAACAAAATCTTTGGATTTTATTGTGCAGGAAATCCCCGTATACAAGTCACTCATGATATTGAGCTGAGTTTGAACTGTGCTAATGGTTCGGCAACTCCCGCCTCACGCTCACAATACCATGGCTGATACGCCCGCGCCGACACAAGTTCAGGAAATTTACATTATTTAACTTCTACTATAATATTGATTCTAGAAGCTCCGTAACGACTT